TCCTCCTCCTCCTCCTCCTCCTCCACCTCAGCTTTGCGCTGTGCGGAGCGGCTGGCGGCTGGGACGGCGTGGACGTGCTGGGGCGCGAAGATGGCCCTGTCGTCCGAAGGGTGCACCACGTTTGGCCGTTGCATGGCCATGTGGTTTAGAGGCGTCCCTTCTTAGGCCAGGTGGCGGTGCTTCGTTTCTACCTCCTCCTGAAGGGCGGCCATGCCTGGCGTTGTGGCCCTGGGTACTCTACTGGCCGAAATAGATCTGAAAAGATTCCGCCATGCTTGTCCGTCCTCTTTCCTCCTCCCTCCTCCTCCTTCCCTCCCCGCTTCCCTCCTCCTTCGCTCCTCCATTTTTTCTCCTCCCCCGGTTTCATCCTCTCCCCCTACTCCTCTTCCTGCTAGATCCTTGCCCGCTTTTTTGCCATCCTCATCCTCCTGCTCCGCCTCCTCATCCTCCTGCTCCCCCCACCCTCGCCCTCTCCCGCGGATCATTGGGATGCACGAACGGCCAGCGATAATGGCTGAGGACGGTCCGAGGATGAACGGATGAAAGGGTGCCCTTGGAAGCTACTCATGCTTACGATCCAGTCTGACTGTATAGGCGACGCCGGCTGTCTGATCGGCGTTCCCCACTCCTCGTATGGCCGACGGCCTGATCCATCGACAGGCGGGATTCTGGAATATGAGCGAGCTGCAGATGCCACTTCGAATGTTGTTTTGGGCGGGCCTCCTGGGAGGCCGCGGGGCTAAGAAGGCGATCTGGCAAAAGCAGCTCATGCCAGGACGGAGACATACAAAGGAGACGAAGGTCAGCGCCACAGGGTCGAGCCGGCGCAAATGTCTCAACGCACTCCTCGATCGGCGACTCGAGAAGCTTCAAGGGGGGGGGGGGGCGCTGGGAGGGCAACGCCTTGCTTGCGGTGCTGGCCGTGCGGCGAGTCTGCCCCAACGACCACGGGGCAGCTCGCCATCGCTCGGACGTCCATTCCTTCCCTGTGTTTTTTTTTCGGTCTCGTGCGTGGTTTGTTTGTTCGCCATGTGACCAAGAATGCGCCTCGATGGTCCTCGCCGAAGGAAAATCGGGAGCGGCCAAGAGGGGGGTTTCCAAGAGGGGGGGGCGCAAATCATGACTGGGTGCATGTGCGCGGCCCAGAGGGGACCAGGGACGTATATAATGAAATAAGAAGAAGCGCCATGAAATCTGAGGAAATATCATGCCCTCCGCCATGATATCCACCCCCCCCTAGTCATCACCCCCCTCTTTTCCGCTTCCGAGAAAAGTGCACACGTCCGAGCGATGCCAAGCGCCAAGGGGCAACCGTGCTTCGGGGCCCTCCCGTCGGCCTCAGCCCCGCACGCCGCGCCGCGCCCCGCCGCCAGGCCGCCAGCGCGGGGGCCGTGGCGGCCGGGAGGGCGACCCACTCGGAGACGGCGCGGGCGTGGATGCGCGCGCGCCTGCGCCGTCCGACCTCGAGGCAGGCAGCAAGGGGAGGGAGGGAGGGAGGGGGGGAGGGAGGGAGGCGGGGAGGGAGGGTAGGGGGGGAGGGAGGGGGGAGAAGGGAGGGGGGACCGAAAGAAAGTCCTCCTCGTCCTCCTCCTCCTCCTCGTCCTCCTCCTCCTGCTCTTCCTCCTCCTCCTCCTCCTCATTCCTCCCTCCTCCCCCTCCCCTCTCCTGGGGAACGGGGAAGAATGACGGGTAACCAGGGGGCAAGAGATGGCGAAGGAGGGGACGGAGGACTGGGGATGAGAGCGGAAAGGGGAGCACGCGCGACGCGCTGAGGAACAGCAGCGGGGTAAGGACAGCTTGCTTGGATGACTACATCGCGGGAAGAGCGGCGTTCATTACTGATTTAAGGCTCTGGCTTCGTACACATAGTTCCTCCATTCGACCTCTCTTCCCGCGATGCGCGCTCCAGCGCTGGACAAGCGTAACTCGTCCAGCATCCGTCGCGTCCTGCGGCGAACGCGAGCAGGGACGGAGAAAAGTGATGCGGGATGGGGGAAGAGCAGGAGGATGTGTTTTCAGAAGGGCGCGGCAAGGCACTGTGAAGGAGGCTCGGAGGGCGGGAGGAGGAGGAGGTGAAGGATGAGGAGGAGGAGGAGGAGGAGGAGGAGGAAGACCAGTGTAAACCCCAAACTCATCAACGATGTTGGAATACACACTCCCTCCAAGATCCCTCGTCACAGGACCCTACGAGGGTTCATCTCCAC